AAAAAAAAAAAAAAAAAAAAAAATTGGCCAAAAAAAGCTTCGTGTAGATCACGTGATCAGAACTAAAATTAGCATAAGATGGCGCCGTTGAAAATATAAGAGAAATTAGAATGTGGTTTAGTTTTATCAGATAACGAAAAATAAATAGCAATTTTTCTTTAAAATTCAATCTTTTATTTACCGAAAAAAATTGTCTTAAGCATTTTCACAAGGAACAAAAATCCCACATATATTTTTTAGTATAAGCTTTTTTATCGATATATTTTTTAGTTTCCTTTTGGTTCAGTGCTACGGTCTTGACAACTAAGTGAGCGTTGTCTGGTGTATCGTAGCAAGAATATTCGTAATATTAACGAAATTAAATATTTAAAAACTTATGATTTTCTAGAAAATCGCTAGGTGCTCTTTGGCAAATAACCATTTGGCAACATTTCATTTTAAGTTTCGAATTTATTATGATTTTGAGCGATTTTTGTGAGATTTTAAAAGTACGAGGTTTCGTACCATTTGGAAATATTTCATTTTCTGCAGTTGCCAATTTATTCCGATTTTGAACGATTTTTGTGAGCTTTTACGTCTCGTCAAAGTCAGCCATGTAAAGAAAATTCCATTTTTAAATTCTAATTAACATTTGTGTATAAAACCAAAAACATTTACATATACCACTTTAAATACTCTAAGTAAAGTTAGTTTTTACCATCGGAATTTTATCAATTCTTAGAGAAAATTCCTTTACAAATTCTCAAGAACCGGTCACAACATATCTCAAGTTTAGATAGTTTTTCCCATTTCATATTTCTTGCATGAGACGGCGCCATTATTTCCCTGACTAACACTGCTTTAAAAAATTCGGTTTAAAGTAGTCTTTTAAAGACTGACTTTGTCGAACATTTAAAGAAGAAAATGTACTAAATCCTTAGATAAAAAAAAATTAAAAAACAAAAACCGTCTGAAGCCAGAAAATGTTTTAAAAATCTCGAAGTATAAACTATGCTTCGTAACAGCATATTTAAATGTCATATCTGTAAACACTATYTTTACTAGGCTGATTCTTTCGTCAATTTTTTAATAATTCATCTTCGTTTTTTTGTTCAGACTCTATGTAGTCATCACCGATAAGAAAAAAATATGTCCAGCAACTTTGAACAACGACAGCAACAACACGAACAACTTACCGTCTTTCATACTAACTCCATTGAACTCGTTTGAGATTTAAAAATTGAGATTTTTTTAAACAAAAAACGGTGTTTTGTGAGAGAATATTTTCATGTAAAAACCAAAAGCATTGGAAATTCTAGTCCTAATGAATAGTTTTTCATTATTTTGAAAATATAATTTTGTTAAAATCATTTCGAGTTTCTTTCGAGACCTATTCAAATTTCTTAACAGCATCGTTTATAGTTAGTTTCAAATTCGCTTTGAATCACGCTGTAATTTGTGCGAGAAAAACTCGATGAAAATTAGTCGAAAATGTATGTTTTAGAAYTATGAGGGTTTGAAGTAAAAAGAGAAAAAATCACATGTAATTGTGTACTATTTAAGTTGGCTTTCAAATTTTCCGCGCACGAAGTTCGTCGTCAGACAATCTATTTTTTTCTTTGCGAAAATATAAGTATAAAATATTCCGAGTTTTACATAAAAAGAGAAAATTCTGTAGTCCATTTTTAGCTGTTTCCACATTAGACGTATACCAATTTACTCTTTAAAAGAGACGTTTTTGGCAACGAGTTTGACATTTCCATTCCACCTGTAAACGATTCACATCGATGCCTAAATGAGAAAAACCATTTTGGTTCGAAATATTCAATTTTCATTTGCAAAAGCTCGAAATGAAATTCTATTCTCGTTAGGGTTTACACTGAATTTCTGAGATCAAATGACTCAGACTCACACTCCATTCCTTCTTTTAAAAACGAATTGAAGTCGAAAATTTCGTGTATTATTAATAAGTTCTCGTTATCTTTATTGTATTATGTATATTAAAACAGTCTTCAAAATTATGCTGAATTTTATATGGCTGAACACAGGAAAGGGTCGAGAGCAGCTGGCGAACAGCAGAGTCCTCTGTTATTTAAATTTTAATTCAAAGCTGGGTTGATTTTTGTTTATCACAACCAGTACAAAATCAATGGACAGAGGACGGGAGAGAAGTAGAAATACAACACACGAAGAGAAAAATGGTGCACGAGTTTCAAGGTAATGTTCTTTTGACGTTCTCTTTAAACATTTTTCTAACTTCGCTTAAGAATAGGAAAACGAAGAGAACTTATCCGAATTATATTCCTTCAATATTACTAACACTGCTTTGCGACAACTTGGTCCATCGCTTAGCAGCGTAAAAGAAAAGTCAGTTTTCGTATTTTACTTATAAATGAGATACAGCAATCTGCTAAGAAGTAGTTACAGAATAATAGTCAAACACTTCGAGTTTCAATTGGAGATTTCCGAAAATCCCTACTTACCCGATAATTTACATCCGTATTCACTGCATCCTCTTCGAGATTTTTATGAATTTATTTTGAAAATTTTCCAATTCTATTGCATTTTAAGTTCCTTATTTAATAAATGAGTGAATATTTTACTGCAGTGTATTGTTGTTCGTAAATCTTCGTAAATATACTTAGAATAAAATGTAGTTGACTAGCTAGGAATATCTTTCTCATGCCTGTAGGGGAAATATCTGAAAATGCTTATATTTTTGACGTTATATTAATGCAAAAAAGATGTTTTAAAAATCATTTTGCGTCGAAGAGTTTTAATTGCATGACACCAAGCAGATTATTGGAGCCAGAATATACTCTTCAATCATTCACTTTCCATTCCATTCACCTTAAATTTTTGCTTTCATAACTCGTGCTTCGAAATTGGTACCCAAACAAAATATTTTCTTGCAAACTACTAAATTGAAAAGAAAAAGCCGTTCATTTTTCGAAACAAAGTTGTTTCCATTTTATGTACTCTCTTAAATACTTTATTAAACRCTTTTTGTATGTGTAGTCGAGTCGTTATATTTGCCGAAAAGTGAAACCGCTTGTCTGACTCTAGTTGACAGTTTAGGTGTTTCAATCTCTAAGTTCATCTAATATCTAATATCTTTCAATCATTATATGTTATTTATAATTATATATATATTTTTTTTTTTTTGGTGAAAACGCAAGTTACAGTTACAAATTACAAGAAATATTTTTGGAAAAATGAAGAAAAGAAATGCTCAGATTGGCTGAATTCCACATACATTAAAATGTATGTATTTTGAAGTCGGAGCGATCAGCAATATTTGCGTTTTTGTGGACATTCTGCGGCGTCAAAGTAATGCAAATGTATGGTCATTTTTCTTTCAATTCTTCGAGTACTGAATCATTTTTCTCAAGTGTTTTTTTTTTTTTCGCTCAAGGACTTCATTACAAAATGTTTTTCCCTCTAAATTTGAGAGTCTATAAAAAACCGGAAGCTACGGTCCAAAACAAAACAAAACAAAATAAAAAAACACGGAAATTCCTGTTCAGTATAGTACGCGCGATTCTAAAACATCGAAAAGGGCGGGAAAAAGATTACCTTTTACTTCATTTGAGAGCAGCGGTTTGTTCTTTATGATTCGTGATTGCGCCAGCCTGAATTTAACCCAATCTGATAAAGTCAACAAGATACAACGAATTTAGTTTCTGGTTAAAAATGTGAACAAAATGTGTAAAAAAATATATAAAATAATCGTGTAGTACAGAGGCAAATATCACAAGAAAAGTAAAGATAAAATATCGGTTTGCAAGTGGAAAACGAATAATCATGTGACTCAATTTGTAACCAATAAGCATCAATCTTGCCCCAAAGGGTTGCAATCCTCTTGGTCAGCACCGAGAATCGTCTCTGGCGACGAGATTGCAATCACCGTGAACATGAAGAGTGAAGAGTGCAACAAAACGAGACGTGGGCTAATGTTAAGAATAATTTTCCGTCGAGTGATCTGTAAATTGCTATCTTCTCATCTTGCGATGAAGAGAGATTAGAATTCTAAGATATAATAAGACACTATTCAAGTCTCATTATTCAATCAAAGGCGCCTTTGTTTTGTTTTGTTTTTTTGTTTTGTTTTGTTTTGTTTTTTTTTTTTGGTTGAGCTTTTTTCATCATCATTGGCCGAATCCTCTTATATAACATAGATATATAAGTGCATAGAGTTTTAGAAAGTGATTCAACTTGCCTAAGTCATCATCTGACTCTTACAATACTTAGCGTGATAAATATTTTAAACCATCTTCTCCTCGTTCATGATCAGTCATACTTGTACATTTGCTCATGCTTTCATCATGTGATAAACAATCTTAAAAAGCTTGCAGATCAATTTCGCGGTAGTTTGTTTTGGACTTCAAAATAAAGTCAAATAAATGATCCTATTTGACTAATAACCTCACACTGTGACTACCAATTCACTGTAGCGCGTTTTTCACTTTTAAACATTGTACTGATTGAATATATATCTATAATTCGTGGTTTATTGCGTCTTAAAAATACTAGTACGTTATTTAGAAGTAAGATGAAAGGATTGGCATTAGTTTTACAGCATTATATTGACGCCCATTTTTAACTGTTTGAAAAAGAGACTATTCTATATTTCCACATACGTTTACCAAATACAATTGAAATAGTGCGAATGCAAATGCGTAGCATATGAACACCGAGTGCTCAGGGTACGAACACCGAGTGCGCAGGCTACATACACCGAGTGCGCAGGGTACGAACCCAAAATGCGCAGGGTACGAACACAAAAATGCACAGGGTACGAACACGGAGTGCGCAGGGTACGAACACGGAGTGCGCAGGGTACGAACACCGAGTGCCCAGGGTACGAACACCAAGTGCTCAGGGTACGAACACCTAGTGCGCAGGGTACGAACACCTAGTGCGCAGGGTACGAACACCGAGTGCGCAGGGTACGAACACCGAGTGCGCAGGGTACGAACACCGAGTGCGCAGGATACGAACACCGAGTGGACAGGGTACGAACACCAAGTGCTCAGGGTACGAACACCGAGTGGACAGGGTACGAACACCGAGTGCGCAGGGTACGAACACCGAGTGCGCAGGGTACGAACACCGAGCGCACAGGGTACGAACACGGAGTGCTCAGGGTACGAACACCGAGTGCTCAGGGTACGAACACCGAGTGCGCAGGGTACGAACACCGAGTGCGCAGGGTATGAACACCGAGCGCACAGGGTACGAACACGGAGTGCGCAGGGTATGAACACGGAGTGCGCAGGGTACGAACACCGAGTGCGCAGGGTACGAACACGGAGTGCGCAGGGTACGAACACCGAGTGCGCAGGGTACGAACACCGAGTGCGCAGGGTACGAACACATGAAAAGAGAAAATTCAACAGAAATGGCTAATAGATGATGTCATGTCTTCCTTTAGCAGTTTGCCCGTGGGGGGTGGGGATAGTCACAGCTTGACTAGTCGCGATAAAGAATGGGTCTATCTTTAGCTTAAAAAATTAAATTTAACAGTGCTCGAAAAAAACGCGACACAAAAGCTAAAATAGTCTATAAAATGTATACTGTCTCGCCGACACATAAATAACTATACAACACAAAGAAAAAAAAGATCTACCAAAAATATATAAAACATTTTTGGAATAGCTCGTGGATTTAAGGAGCCTGTATGAAAAATTCTAACGTGCCTGTTCCATAATTTCTTAGGTATTTTCGAAACACCCTTCTATATATATTACTAGTGCAAATTTGGATTTCACTTATAAAATATTTATATAGCTCCGATTAATTTTACAAGACTATATGAATAAATTAGCTTTTTATCTCTAGAAATTATCTCTCGTTCGCTGCCTCGTTTACTCTATAATTTGAGGTTTTCACCTTCAAAACAATGAAAAATGAATAGTAATAAGTCACGTGAGGATAAGGATACTGATGAAATTTTGAATTTGTGTTCACACATTTGACTTTGATTGAAATCATTTCAAATTATTTTAAATCAAAGGATATAGGTATATAGTTATTAATTAGGATTAATGGTGGTGATAATTTTGAATGAACTCTGTTTCGTTTTGAATTATTATTTAACCGATAGATAGTGGCATCTGCATTTTTCCTTGCTAAATTGTATTAAAAATACAAAATACTCAAAGGAGCAATCTAAATTCTACAATTGTTTTGTGAATAAGCATTAGAATATTCTTCTTCGATCTCAGCATGGTGTACGTGAGATGAAAAACTTTATTTTTTATTTCGATTTTCTAGAAGCGAATACATCATAACTACAGGCTCTCGTTGTTTCCTTCTTGTGACAAGTCTTTTTACGTCATATAAAATCTGATGTTTTAATAATGACTTGATTCCAAAATACCGTTTTGAAGATAAAAACCGTTGCAACTGTTATTATATACGGATAAACTTTTCGTTTTTCAATCGCATGATATCTTTAAATACGTTCACTAAGTTATGGAAAATCAAACGCTTGAAATTGTGAAAATATAACTCACTAAAAACAAGTATTATCATTTCTGGTTATTTCATTTTCTAGTAGAGTTCATAGATAATTTTAGCGATAAAACATATTGTGGTTGAGCGACATCTGAATTGCAAAGAAGAGTTTTATCGGAGTAAACAGTTTTCGTTTGGCATTCTTAAACAACGCTTGGCAAAGGAGCCACTTCAAGCTCACTCCGTCCATTATAATAAATCAATCTACTGGTAAGTCAATATACAGGAAACTTAAGCTGTCCACCCAGRAGTGGTAAACTCATTAGATTTTTTTTTACAGGAAACAGGGTTTAAATTTAACAAATTTTCCGTTGTTCAATTTTGGGCACTATTAAATTCAGAGGAAAAATTGATGAGATTTTTTCAATTCTTGTAAGAAATAAGAGCATCGATTAAATTACGAATTTAAAAACAATGAGATATTATATTCTTTTACTACAAAGAAAAATTACTCGTTGTTAATGGAAATCTCTTTTAGGAGCATCTTTTTAATTAAGAAGAATCACTAATGTAGAAGTTGTATTTTGGATTTTCTTGTAGGGGAAAGTCTGCTTGACGCCATCTTGATATGTGGCTTTCATCATCGCAATTGTGTGATAGAATCAAAGCAAGACTGTCGTCAAAAGATTAATTTGGTGTAAAAGAATAATGTCTTTCTCACTTGGTTGAATTCTTCACAAGTTAGAGTTAGAGCCGAACGTTTAAGCTTTTTTCTACGAAACTTGGTGGCACAACAATTCAATATGGCGGTTCAGGCAACTACAATGATGGCCGGGACACGGCGAGCAAGTCATGTCACAAAAGACTGGATAAACAACGTAGCTCAACCCACAGTTGGCGACGAAAAGATTGTCATCATAAACATCGGAGGGAAAAAGTTCGAAACCTATGAACATACACTCGACCAGTTCCCAAACACTCTCTTAGGATCTTGCGAGCGAAGAAAAACCTACTTTGACAGCAAGAAAAAGGAATACTTTTTCGAACGACATCGTAGTTCGTTCACAGCTATTTTATATTATTACCAATCCAGTGGAATCCTGGAAAGACCCCTGAATGTTCCAGAACACATCTTTTTGGAAGAGATAGAGTTTTTCGAGTTGACAGACGTGATTCAGAAGCGGAATGAGTCGGAAACGAAAAAACAGCTTGAGGAGAACAGTGACAGCAACGAAGAGTTGCCCCACAACAAGTTTTTAAAGACAATTTGGGTCACATTCGAAAACCCAAACTCCTCGACTTTTTCCAAATGCTTGGCTGTTTTTTCTCTTTGTATCATTGTTCTCTCGATTGGTGTTTTCTGTGTTGAAACTTTGCCCTCATTGGATGATTCTAAGCCAATCACAAAGGTTTATCCCAACGGCACGAAAACTACAAGCCCGGGGAAAAAAGCCAATGCGCGCGTGTTCTTTGGATTGAATGCGTTCTGTACAACTTGGTTTACTCTTGAGCTGATCATAAGGTTCCTAGTTTCTCCTAATAAGATTCGCTTCGTCAAAGCTTTTCTGAACATTTTGGACCTGTTGTCTATCTTACCATTCTACATAACATTGGCATTGTCAGGACACGCTGGAGGTGTTGGGGTATTGCGCGTTATGCGTGTTATCCGAGTGGCTCGTATTTTCAAGCTCTCTCGCCACTCGCGAGGGCTCTACATCTTGGGCAAAACACTGCATTCTAGTCTTAATGAGCTTATTATGCTCTTCTTGTTTCTACTGATGGGAGTCATTCTGTTCGCTAGTGCCGCGTACTACGCTGAACACCAAGAGAATAGAATTATGTTTGAAAGTATTCCTCATAGCTTTTGGTGGGCGGTGGTTACCATGACGACTGTAGGGTATGGAGACATAGCACCAATCACGCTATCAGGTTAGTCAATCCATCAAAGTACGTACGAGATCATCGGTCATAATTATAATCGGTTATGTTAATTAGAAATGGGATGAAGTTGAGCAATCAATCATAAAACAGTAGCTCGTTCCATTGACCGCGCCCTAAGAAGTCCATTCACCGTTATTCGAGGGGAGGGGAATGTCGATAAATTATTTTAAAATGCTCTATCGATTCAGCTTACGAGACCGTAAAACGACGTGGTATATAAAATGATAAACTTGATTGTTTTCCAGGTAAACTTGTTGGTACTCTGTGCGCTCTGTCTGGTGTGTTAGCAATAGCTCTACCGGTCCCCGTCATCGTCTCCAACTTCGAGTACTACTATAAAGAAGAAATGAACAGAAAAGAACGAGAGGAGAGACTGAGAAACAAAAACGAAAAAGAAGATGCACTAGCTGGCACGCCCACCGAGAGAACGATTTCTTATCGGAGTTTGAATCAGTTCGTGCCGAAGTCACCGTTTCTCGAACGAAAATTACTAGAAAGGGAACTACGGTCTGCGCACTCGACGCCAGATCCCCTGCGTCGAAGGGATTTCTCGCACTACTCGCCGGCCGCGGTCCATAAGAAGAATGGAGCGATGAAAATAAAACCACGTGATGCTATTAAGGAAGTAGATGAAATCAGCGAGGACGATCATACGGACAGCGGTCGTCCCCAGAGGACTGAAACTAATATTTAAAGAATTCGAAAAAACCAACATTTTCAATTATTTCAAATTTGATACTTTTGCAGCGAGGAAGCTTGGACTTAAATTAAGGCTAGTACTAGTGGCCGTTAAATCAAAAATTTTCTATGAATTTCAAATCAATTAATAATGATTATTAGTCGAACAGCTGGCTGTGGTGGGCATTAAATGAGAACAAACGTAAAATATCGACAGTTGGTCGCCCTGTGTTTTGGAAAGTCGTGAAAGACTAAAAACTGGCTTTGAAAATGAACAGACAGAGCTCAGAGACTCCATATTTGATAGCATGCAAAAATCAAGGACACAACTAGGCAAAATCCGTCTAAGGCAATGGCCCTATTTCACTATGACGTCACATCAAAACAATATATTGTTTAAACGCAAAGGATCATGGTCGTCGGACGGGGTCAAATCAACGCAAATTCACCGAAAATTGTTCTAAAACCTGTATCAATCCACGAAGAGAAGTAGAATAGCCAGCAAACCCTCAGAATATTTTTTAGTACATATTAACACATATTATATCTGAAAACCAGGCAATTTTATATTAAACTGTTTCGCTAAGAGCAAATTTTGTTGAATTTTCTATTGGATTTTGTGATTCTATCCCCAACATAAACAAGCAGTGACGTCATAGTGAAATAGGGCAATTAGGTGGTCGTTTTAACTTAGCTATGATGGACAACAAGGTCATGTTTGATAGCAATCTCGATTGCGCATGCGTATTGAATGTCAGGAGAATAACGCCCCCAGAAGTCCTGGGCCCGAGGTAAGAGAGTCGATAACAGACAAAGTCAAGATTAAGTTGTGACATCATGGTTGTTAGCTTTGATCATAATCAGACAAGCACGTGGTGGACAAGCTAGCCAATCGCCAGTCGAGAAATCACACATAGACGAGTCCACTCAACTGCCCGGAAAGCAGGATAAAGGTAGAAAGAAGAATGATTAAGTACTGTAATGAACCAGCAAAGGATTCTTATCAAAAGTGCAGGATTTTCGTATGCCCGAATGGAAATGAAATTACGCTGGAATGGAAAAATTGTATCGATCGTTTTTATTTCTTCGAATACCTCAGGTTTCATTAAATTTCCAAAATTAAGGCCACTACGAATCCTTCACTTGTACAATGACAAAAAAAAACAATAACTATATCTATTAATAATACTGATGACGTAATCAATAGTGACGTCACATGAACATAAATGACGTCAGTCTATCTCAGGTGGACAAGAAACAAAGAAAGCCCAAATGAAAACTGGAATCTTATGATAGTTCATGCTGTGTGAGGAAACATTAACGTATGGCGTAGCATGTGTAGTCATAGCGACAAACACCTATTAAATAATGATTGAAAACTTGCAAAAGTATTTATGAATTTCTATGCTAGATTTAAGCAAGATTTAAGCCTTTTAGGATTTAAGAAATATTTTCTCAGTATTTCAAGCTATAGGTGAGCCTGTTCGCCTGATTGCCACTTCCAGCGGTTGTTATATGGAAGTAGTTTGGATCGCGTCAAAGTCAGTGGCAAGTCAAGCAGATGCATGTCTTGTGTATGTTTGACCTCTCTGGCTAAAATACTTCAGTTAACTGTTGCTCAGGGCTAGACTCGATTTTGTGTCCGTGTAATTTCAAAGTGATTGTATTGACGAAGTTGTACATTCTTTACTTTACCGTTGGTATTTGTGAATATTTAGACACTGATACGAGACTAACCCTGAGTAAATGAGTCTGTAATGAAGAAAGACAACGGTATTGTACGCATTAAGTATTAGAGACCTTTAGCACGATGTTCTTGCTAGGTACCGCAAACCCAAACTGCAGTTCGACGTCAGGCGTTTTCGGTCAAATTTTCTACATTTAGCCAGCCGTCAAAACGAACCATATTAAACTTCATTGATGCTGAGTGTTTCTCCGTGTTTGCGGGCGTCGCGTGTTTCAGGGCCTAGCGGTAAACCTGGTGCTAAAGGTCTCTATGTATACATCAAAACGCGAAGGTCATGRCCCAACTGAGGACTTAACACTATAGAACCTCTCACTCTGTCGTTTGCCTGAAAAGAATTAATTAACAACTGTTTAACATTTTGATATTAGTCTTGAAATTTTCTTGTAAAATTTGTTAATTTAAAAAAAAAACATCTGATGTAAGAGATTTTAATTTTAGGAATAAGATACTCCATCATATACTCAGAGGATTTTCTCTTTGAGAGATATCTCACGCGAGACATAAAACGACGCAAATCTCTGAACACTCATTGATGTACTCAGTTTTATTATCTAGTATAGATTCATAATAATTTTTCTAGTGATTTGCTATGGCCGCGTACTTTTGCGCGCAAGGTACTTTAGTGTTATTACTCGTATAGCGTTTTTTCTTGAACGAAAATTTCAATACAGCTAAAAAATGACGATTTTTTTAACGAGTTTGTTAATAACACATTGCAGTGATTTCCAGAGCAGATAAATTTGGATGAAAAAGGATGAATTTTAATTCCCATGAGAAAAAAAATAATTTATTGCCCTTTAGATTCAGTTATATTGAGAATAGCCATCCATGTTACGTGAGACTGATGAGGGCGGTAAGCCTTGTGGGATGGGCTAGGAAATCATATAACAACATGCGTATTAGGTAAATTACATAACGAAACAGCTGTCCACGGTTTCTAGTTGAGCTGGCTCAGTTACGCGACTTGAAGTTGTTAAAGGCCCATTGGCCCTCTTCTTTAGTCGTTTAATACAATGCTCGTAATTTATCTATTACGCATGTTCATCCATGTTACGGTGAAGGGTTAAAAGTGCTAAGAAAGGCTAACATTTGGACTGTGCATGTTGTTAGCCATTACATCGCTTTGCGCGTAGCGCGAAGCAWGCATGACGCAGACTCCCCAGTTAGTTGAAGCCTCTTCTGCAGGAATCTCTGCAGCAACATCTCTTATTTTTTGCGCTTGTAGCTTTCAATAACGTTTTGACCTTGGGTTCCCTATATTTTACAGTTGATGCGAAGGACTAGGGCCGCCTTTGTCCTTCCCACTCTTTTCCGGTCCTTCTCTTATGATCTACACAGGAATCCCGAAAAGCATATGGCCAGAGTTTCTTACGACGTAGGCTATAATCTTAATTCATAGGTCATGCTCACTTGCATTATAACGTCATTTACTACTACTACCAGACTCCCTTGCACACTTTCTTTCACTTTTACTATTCTCATGAGGGAATACAAATTTGTATAAGAAAGAAAATCCGCGAAGCATTATATGACTCCATCATGCAAATGTCCTATTGGTAATCCTAACAATATTCAGCTTCTTGCTATTTCATAATAAATCACTTAATTAAAGCTATTTAAATTTTGACTCTTTATAAAGGTGTGCCGCACTGCACGTGAAAAATATCCTTGCATTATTTACTAAAAAGGCGCTTGAATGCTACCTTTATACAACCAAATTATAGTTATAGTGTGATGTCCGAACAGCAAGGCAACGAAATTCAAAAAAATCCAGCCGAGAAATCATTACTTTACCTTTAATTGGAAATGAGTGACACGAGGTTAAAAACCCGCGTTTTAATATGTGCAAAGACAAGAAAAATGCGATACAAATTTAAAATGCAGAAATTAATTCTATAGAGATTAATTAACAAATGTTAAGCCAGAAACTGTCAAAATTAGTACAGTTTTCAAGTAATTAATCGCTTCACTTTCTTTTTGTTAATAAAGAGGGTAAAATCTATAAATCTTTTTTTTAAAGAACACAATCCTAATGTTGTCATAACAATGAGATGGGATTCCAATTTTCTTTTTATCTTTAGTAAGCGTTTATTTACCCAGAGCATGCACGTCTTTGTATCAAAAAAAAACCCACTCGTAAAACAAAATGAAAGAAAAGATATATTAGTTTGTCTTAAAAGAAAAGAAAAGTCAATAAGTTTGACTTTGGTTGCCGAAGAAGGTGATTAAAAAATGCCATAAATCATGAAGATGCATTGCTTTTATTCTGAAAACAGGTTATAAGCTTTCATAAAGGTGTTTTATATTATTCGATGGCTTGTGAGAAAGAAGAATAGACGAAAGAAGAGAATAAAGAAGCAAAAGAAGGAAGGAAGGAAGGAAGGAAGGAGGGGAGAGAGAGAGAAGGAGAAAAAGGATACAAAGAAAGATTGGACGGGATAAAAAAGGTATTGTATAAATACCTTCATGCGGTCTAAAATCAAACTGACACTCGTATAAAAAACATCCCTATTTTTAATGTCGGTAAGAAAATTAAATTTCCTTGTCAAATAATGAACGTATTTCGATATTTCAACTTAACCACGGGCAAAAACGAACAATTCACGCACGCTGTTAAAGTAGTATTAAATTTGGTCATATATTCATGCGCGTTCAATGGAATTTCTGCCAGATAATTCGGAATATATCTCTGACTCGCTCAGAATTTCAGAAACCTTTATTAGTTCTTCACTATAACCTAATTGGTGATCCCTGTACGAGATGGTCATCAGATACTATTGAAATGTGGTTGGTTATCAAAATCTCGAATAAAGAAATATTGGTGTATATATTGATTCTTAGTTGAGCTATTCACGATGAAAGTCTCTAACTAAATCAATTAAAAAAGTCAAAACTTATAATTTAACCAGGACGGAAAGCTAGAAGTCTGAGAAGAAAAACTTTGATGTTGTCAACATATCAGTACTAGCTTAACAAAGATGATTTTATTAATACAGTCCATTTGAAATGTATTTTTACGGATAAAGCGGAAGCAAAATTAAGGTATTTAGGAGATAAAGATTTATCGCATAATTTGATAAAACTGAAAAACAAAATGAACAAAACAAATTAGAGACGACAGCTTGGTTGTCAAGACGACAACATTCAAAACTTGAATCAATGAGTCAACGAGAGTGCATATGATTTGCGAATATGCCATTAATTGGACACGAAACTTCACACTGCTTTGATTATAGCATTATTATTTGTAGAAATTTGATTTGGGAAAAAAAACTTTTGTTGGTTTTTTAAGGGGGAATGTTGAGTTTTGGTGACGAAGGCGGAATACTATCAAACGACGTTAAATAATCATGCATTGAAGCAAGGATATCTTCGTTGAATGAACAGATAAATGAGACGGAATCAAGAAGAGATGACTATCTAATCTTCTCTACAAGATATTAATATTCTCTTCAAGGAATTACAGCGATTCATGAAATTGGTAAATTGGTGCACTTTATACTCAACGCGGGACAAAATAACTGCTTCCTCGCTGCTTGGACAAGTTCTATCCTTTGTAGAAAGTTCAAAGTTTACAGCCTTCTTAAAAAGATCATTATTCAACTCCTATTAATTCTAGCTGCCCCGGATTATAAGCTTCTAATTCTGGATTCAGAGATTGCTTTTTATCTGTAACAAGAAGAGGAAAAATGGATGAAGGAACGATGGAAAAGTACACAATGTTTTTTCCTGATTACTTTCTAAAGTCAAACCTCACCATTGCTATAATACTTATATTGCTAAGTATTTATACAGTCCTTGGTAACACACTAGTGTGTATTGTGTACATTAAGGACCCAGGAAAAAAGTTAAGGACTATTTCGAACCATTTCGTTTTGAACTTAAGTGTCGCGGACATTCTTGTTGGTGTTGGAGTTGAACCTCTGAACGCTACTTCGAACTGGAACTCCGATCAAAGGATTTTGTTCTCGTTCTATATAACTGCAATTATATCTTGTGTTTGTTCAATTGTGACGATTGCAGCATTGATGATTGATCGATATATAGCAGTTAGCAGACCATTTAAGTACAAGGTCATCGTAACTACGAAGAGAGCACGCGTTTCGCTTGTGATTATTTGGGCCTTCTCTACGCATTTTGCCCTGATGCCGTGTCTAGGTTGGCAAACAGCGGGATTCCAGGTTTATCTATACCTGCTTGGAATTCTTACACCGACTGGTTTTATGCTATTGTCATACGCTGGGTTATTAAGAATCTTAAAGGAAAAGAYTCGAAGTCTTATGAACTCAGACGCAAGGACAGCAAATTATGCGAAGAAGGCGATGGAAAGAGAAAAGAGGGTTTCAACTACTGTCTTCATCATGTTGATCGTATTTCTCGTAGCTTGGTGTCCGTTTGTTGTCACGGATTTTATCCTCGTATTTTGTTCATCCTGTAGAGACAACGATTCGGTACGACTTGCTAGAGATATAACTTTAGTTCTCGGGTTTTTCTCATCGGGAATTAACCCTATTCTCTACGCGTGGCGCCTTCCGAACTTCCGAAATGGTTTTCTTTTGTTGTTGGGCTGCAAGGAGAAAAGACGTTCTCTGAAAATAGCGCCTTTGAAAGAAAGTTCGAACGAACAAAGTCATAACATAATTGCGCTTGACTGTCGCAACGATAGAAAATCACTTTCAGCCATTCCGGAAAAGGAAGACACTACCAAAGGCGAAAATGAACCTAAGGAACCTGAAAGCACGCTGAACTAGTACTACAGAACGATTTTATTCAGTTAACAAATGAATGCAGATCCTTCACCTGAATTAGTTTAACCGGCCGTCTTTTAAAAGGGTATTTARAAAACGTTTAATCTAACGATCAGTATGCCAATTTAGTGCATGAATAATAGGAAGTAAACTGTACGTGACAAACCTCCTTGAAAAACTTGGCGACTAAGTTCTCTAACAGAATAAAAACCTCATCGAAATAGGACAGTATATAATTTTCTGTGGCGAAGGACTAACGTTTTAAACGACGGTAAAGTTTTTAGTCCTTAGCTCTTACTCACTTAACTTGTTGTATTCAACACACCAAAGCAGTCCAAACTAGTAGTCAATAGTCATTCTTATTCACTTGTTGTATTCAACACACCAAAGCAGTCCAAACTAGTAACCATTAGTCATTATATCAGTATACAATATATATTTGACTTTTTTTGACGCATCTCTGATATATGCTGATTTAAACTTTACAATGTTTGACAATCTACAATTTTAGGTTTAATATAGTGCGCGCATCTTTGAATACTGTTTGTCTTCCTTTGACAAGACAATACGCACTGGAATTGAACAACCCAATCAGTAATTTTGTCTTTTATGTGTAAAATCAAACGTGTCTCCCTCTCTCACTGGGCCAGGTCAAGATTGACTGACTACGACGTGAATGACAAAAAAATCATTGACTCTAGGTTTTACACCCCCCCCCCCCTCCCCCCATTCCGATATTGGAAATGCCTGTCGTCTGATTGCAAACTGTGGATATTCTCTGGAGCAAGTTCTATGAAATTTAGTTGGCATGCAGATGCAATCCCCATTTTATTTATTTCCACTACTCAGTTTCAGTATTTTCATAGTATGGGATTTTTTTCGAAGTTGGATAAAAAAGCTAGTTCCATATCATACACTTCATTTTTACAGTACTCCAATGGAAATGTAATAGTTTTATAATAAAATGAATAAAATATATGGTCTCGAATCTCTCTACACCCTTCCAGTTTTATAGATTCGGGTAATTTTATCAAATACGCAATCATCGCTGATTGTATGTACTCTAGCATAATTCAATGGGAGACTATTAGTGCACTGCCTGGCAAGTGATGAAATAGGACTTACTCCGACAGGCTGCCACGGAATGTCAATCGTTACAAGTTTCTAACGATTAAGATAATAGGGACTTTAAGATTTGCAAAATCTGCGACGGCGACGTCTACCGGAAGTGTAAATAACTTCACTTTGGGGTTTCGCGTCCTCAAAGTCTGGCTTACCTGTGGATGAGTTGACTTTACTGACAATGTTTTGAATGAAATCTCCAATGAACAGAACCCCAAAAAGAAATTATTTACACTTCCGGTTGACGTCGCCTCGTAGATTTTGCAAATCTTAAAGTCCCTAATAATGATATGGGATTCAACAGTTTCCATTTTAACCCTCTAATTTAGGAACAATAAGAATAAATTGCCGGTTCGTTTGAGTCGTATCAAGAGACCATTTGATATTGTTCTTATTCACATAGATGTGAATATTTCAGACGTTGCTATGTATATTTTATTATATTATTATTGTTAAGAAAGGAATAATGTTCAAGAGAACGACATCTTACGCAAAATAGGACCGACATCAACAACACTGAAAATATGTCATTATAATGGTTTCTTTTTGCAATTATTGTCCTTTGTCTAAAATGCAATATTCTATTTTTTCTATTGATGTTATTAGTTGATGGGCCTACAAAATGTAAGTAGAATACAAAAGGACAACAATTATTACTATTAAATGCCTTGTATATAAAATCTTTAGTGTCTAAATTTCAAGCTTTTTGACAATTAAAATGAAGGGAAACCTCAAGAGCGAGGAAGCTTTGAAGACAACAAACACAACCAATAAAGTCATCCTCTAAAAGGTTTGGCAGTCAAACATACCAATTATCAGAGACAACGCAAGTCATTAGTACGGTGTGGCTGCTACGATAAGGTGAAAATTTTAATTTTTAATCGAGATTTTGACACCTAATTTACAACCTTTTTAACAATTGTCAATTAAGTGGTTGGAGGTTTTCGCGTCAATTTTGCTGATAAATTAGAACGTTTGACGATAATTGTGGAAGAGAAAATGATAAAAACTAACTAGAGAAAAATATTGAAAATGCAACTTACGAAAAGGTCAAAGAAAAAATGAAAAAGAAAGGAAAATACGCTAGAACTGAATTGAAAAAAATACAATTTCAAGATATAGAAGATATTCAGAGATATTGATGAAACGTAAGAAAGATCTAAAGAAATGCAATGAAGAATGGGAGATAATTGAAGAGGAAGTGAAAGAAAAAGGAAGGGAAGGGAAGG